CAAATGAATATAAATATAAATAATAATATATATATATATATATATATATATATATATACATTTATATATATATATATATATATAATATATATATAATATATATATATATATATATATATATATATATATTTATATATTATATATATATATATATATATATATATATAATATATGCATATATTATGTATATATATGTATATATATATATATATTATTATATATATATATATATATATATATATATTCACTTGTATATATATTTATATTCATTTATATAAATGTCTATATCTATTTATATATCTTTTTATATATGTATATATTTATATTTACATATGTATCTACTTATATACATACATATATATATATATATATAATATATATATATATATATCTTATATATATATCTATATATATATCTATATATATATCTATATATATATATAATATATATATATATATATATATATATACATATATATATATATATACATATATATATACATTATTATTATTTATATTTAAAATTTATATAATAGATACATTTATATAATATATATATATATATTATATATATATATATATATAATATATATATATATATATATATATGTATGTATATATACATATATACACATATTTATTTATATCTAAATATTTATATATAGATACATTTATATATATATATATATATATATATATATATATATATATTTTTTTTTTATATATATATAGTAGTGTATAGTATAGTATAGTATAGCCGGATAGTATGAACTATGGTAGTACATATAATTTCACTTAAAAGTTCTTGCTAACTACTAACAAGAACTAAAATATATGTAAACAACACGTCTCATATGAAGCCACTAAAAACAGCCTGATCAGATTCCTAAAACAAAACAGTTCTTACAGATATCTATTTTTCTCTCTCCTTCTGAGTGACTCTCGTTCTAGAGTCATACGGGTTACCATTGCACTAATGCAGTTACCTATTTTCTAATAATATCTGAACAGCAGAAGCTGATTTGGTCCTCGATGCCCCTGGTGACCTCCCACTTCAAGGGAACTATCTACACTTCAAGATCAACTTTCAATGATTTTGAGTCAGACCTTTCTCATTCACACTCATTTATTCTCTCAATTATAACCTCTTAAATCTCTGTTTGTGCTAAAACGGTCAAAGAATTTAAGAAATGGTCAAAAGGTAGAAAAAATGGAGAGGGAAATGTCTGGACATTCATCTTTTTTTATTCTTCATAAAAAATTCTCATTATCTTTCCTGAACAACAGTAATGTGTTAGTAGATTGGATCAGAACCCATTGATTCATCTTTTGGTGATATAATACCAGTCCTTGATATTCTCAAAAACTAAAAACACAGATCAATTTTGCAAGAAACAAAGGTGTGAAAAAAGAGGAAGGAAGGAAAGAAAGAAGATGACAAAAGGTATCTTTATGGCACTGGCCAACATCTGCTAAAAGCTTATTAGAACATTCTATCATAAGCTACTTTTGCTTCCCTTGTATCAAAATAATAGGCCAAGAGTTTCTCAGCATGATTCATGAAAGTTATACTTAAATTATATAAAAAAGAAAAGAAAAGAAAAAAAGAAAAAGAAAAAAAGCTGAGTAAAATATAAATTAACTGGCAGAAAAAAAGGTAGATATGACTTCATAATCACTTTCTAATGCTATTTCTATACCTAGGGCTAAGTGGTAATGCATGAAAATGTACCCACGCATATGCATGCACTAACGCACACACACAGAGGCTCTTACAGGTGTTCTTTGCACCTGGAAACAATAAGTCATGTGAGGTTGCCAAGAACCATTCTGTCAATACATAATTGCATTAAATAATATCTAATACACAAGTAGCCCTTTTAACCCATTGGTGCCGGGTGTCACGTACGTACATGCCATGGCTGTTGTGTATCAAACACCGGGGGCATCATGCCATGCCCATTCCCGCGCTACTGGCTCATCGGACGGAGGTTGTTTTTCTCCACTAGTAGCGGCTTCATTTATATGGTAAAGATTTTAGGCAATGGCACCTAAAGTGAAGTTAAACCTTCAAAATTTTAATATTTTTATAAATTTTAGCAAAATAAAAGCTTTTAGGTGCTATATGTCGCTCGCAAACTACCGATCGAGCCAGGCGCAAACAGGGGAAACTGCTGGTGCATGCCAACAAGTCGGCGCATACGTAAACTTGACAAAATTTTTACCCGTCGCTGATGGGTTAAGAATCAAAAATGGAATCTGACCTATATTATCCAAGACAAACTCAGTGTTTGAGGGAGGGAGTGTAACAATATATGAATAAATGTTCAGGCTTGCAATCTCTTGACACCTGTATTATAGGTATCATAGAGTAAAATACGCCAAATTTCACTAAAACATCTGCCGTATGTTTGATAGCTATTACTTGTTTAAATGATTTCCATGCTGCCAATACATTTCTACCATTTGATCTATAATATGCCAATGGTTATGCTGAACATCAGCATGTGCAAAATTGTTTCCAGCATGGCATAGAACTTCATTTGCCAACTTTAAGCTCCTTCCCCTACCATATCTTCCCTTTTTTCATATAGTTATAATATCAATCTTAGAAGAATAGTATTCAAAATATCCTTTTCTGGAAATTTCTTCAATAAAAACACTTGTTAACCCCTATAATCTGGATGACGTTACAGTCCTGTCACGGAAATATCTGGGTTGAGGGCTGGGTGATGTGAACATGCTGTCATTGGACAAAATGACCGCGGGCCAAGTAACGCGAACTTGCCGTCATGAGTAAAGGCCAGGGTGATGGAAAAGACTCACCACGAGTGCACAAACCTCTTGGAGTGTGATTTAACTAATTTGGTCCTTAGAAGACGGGCTTTAGCATTATTCCCATCGATAAATGAAAGTAGAATATAACATGCATATGCTGTAACTGGAAGAGTGCCAAGGAGGATACTATTTCCATGCTGCATACCATATTCCTAGTCAGTGTGACTGGCTGTGCAGGTTGTATAATGAAAAATTGGATAGTGAGATGATGTAGAGTCTGTGCAAGGAATATAAGCAATCAACATCTGGATAAAGCAAATAAAAAGATAAATATAACCTTGAAAAATGGCAAAAAAGTTTTTAAAGTTTACACAAAATAACTTTGCAAAGGGGAGGTACAGTCTTGTCACCGCTCATAGGTTCTTCGCACACGCCCGGCCTATGTACTGCATGCCCAAAATGTTGGCAACTTATGAAACCCACTACCCGTATTTTTGGCACCCAGATTATCTTGACACAACCAGATCCAATGGGTTAATATTATAATTATCTTCATTATCATTATAACTTCTGATACTTCTAGGACCACTTCTATTAAAGATGTAATATATATATTTTTGGCCATTCTTTTCCTTGCTACATTAGCATTTTCATGATCATCATATGTATTATAATATATAGTATATTGTAGGATACTAAACCTCTAGAGACCCACCTTAATTTGTGTCTTTTCTCCAAACACATAGAGAGCAGCTTTGTGGAAGGATTGCACGGCTTCTGTTCCCATGTCCGTTGAGTCCACAGAGAGCCTTGGCCCCGTGTTGATGCTGGAACGAAGGGCAGGGGTGGATGTGGGGTGGTGGCGGAGGGTCCCTAAGGTCCCTCCTACACCCCCACTGGACGGCACACCTGGTCGTGCTCCACGCAGGGAGCCCCACCGACCCATCCTGCCAGTACCCTTGCCCCCGCTTGTCCTGATGAAATGGGCAGGTGGGTGGGTCAGTAAGAACAACAGCAGGCCATTGCGAGACCTGACTGAGTGACTGGCTGCCCGGAGGTAGGGAGGAGGGGGAGGTGGGTGGGGAGTGAGGAGCGGCAAAACATGCTAGCAAAACTATGTTGTGGACACAAGGGCACAGATGGACAAGAGAAGAACAAGCACTTTTTGAGGCATAGGTACCATAAGTTTTAAAGAGGAGAAAGAGGGATGGAGGAAAAAGGGAAATGTATATAAAATATTTAACAGAATTTATTTTCATGTCCCCCATATCTTTAGCTGAAGTAAATGTATCATCCTAAGTAAATATTTCCTTCATTTTTATGATTCTTTCAGGTATGCAAAAATTCAAGCCCAAAGATCCAAACAAGATGAATTTGTAATGGCATGTTATCTCCATTTAAAAAATACTGCATAATAATATATCTCACAACAAAATATCTTAATCAAAAATGGAAATATATTAGTTTAGAGTTTATGTTGAGACAGTACATCCCTCTAACATTCCCCCAACTACTGCAACCCCCTAATGGACTCAGAAAAGAAAAGAATAGGTAGCATATCCATGATATTCCAAGATAAATCTCATGATCGAATTCTATTACTGCATTGTATAATATAAGTAAATGAATACTCTAAAATTGTCTACAATTAACTCTGTGATCCCTTTTGTAAAGTGTAAATACGAACAAACAAGACAAGTAAAGAGGAAGGTACAAAGGAATGCTTAGTAAATGCTTGACAGTTAAACAGCCACCAGAAATAGGTACTTTAGTCACTCCCATGGTTTTAGTGATAGAAAAAGTAATAAATAAATAAAAACAAAAAACTAAAATCTCATCAAAGAAATTAGAAGTAATCCATGATCAAGCAGTCACTGACAAGAGGACTTGACATATATGCACAAGGACTAAACAGTACTGGTGCTAGAAACATACGGCAAAACCTTGCTTTAACTTAACACTTAATGCATGTACTATTATTACCATTACTATTGTTTAACACAATTAAAAGTTCTCTTTTAATTTAGACCTTTTATTTACATGAAAACAATATCATTTTAAAATCTACAGAAAACTCCAAATATTCACCACACACAATTAAGAAGGGAACACACAAAAAAGCATATGCGGGGAAAATGCATAAACAAAAGCAACATATGCACTTCACTATGCAAGGTTCTACTGATATGTTTATCTCACAACCTTCATGCTATGGCTGAGCTTCAGGTAACCTCACTGAAGGCCTTCTACACCACAACAGGTTCCATGCTCAATAGTACAGTACTGTAAAAATATCTACTTACTAGCACTGAGCCTTTTGTGTGCCTAAAATAGTGTATTTACAAATTAGTTCAGTGACTGAATTTAGAGTTACTGAAATGTTCTGTGTTGTGTGGATAGTGCAAAGCTCCTGTTGAAGCCTGTGCTATTGTTCAAGATTTAGCAAAAGCTGCAAAAATAGCTTTAACAAAATAAGCATGAAATGAAAAAGAAAACTTCAAAGGAAGTGTCAGCACAAGATACAGCACATAGTTTGAGACTATGTAATGAATCAGCTCCTTAAGACTCCTTTTTGTATAGAGAATCTTAGGTTACATGATTCAAAGACATACTCAAAAGCTATGGCCTTTTTCACTTTAGCAACAGCAAATTTGCTAGTG